CGGCAACAACAATACTACAGCGAGAATCAAAGTTACGCCTTCTTTCTTTGCGTGCACATTTGGGCGGTGTTATGCAAATCTTCGCACATCGTGACGTAGACATGTGGGGGCGTGTTACAACGAGCCGTTTTAGGTAGCCGTGGTTGACAACTTACTTTTATAAAGAATATCTCTTTGTATTTGAGACTTTTGTCTTTGCAACTTTACAGATCTTCTTTATGCACCAAGAGCTTGTAACACTCCAAAGAGAAAGGAAAAATTTAAATCACATCATATGACCCCTTTAAACAAATAAAACATTCTTATATTTTAGCTTCTTTAAATTAGCTGCCCTTTGTCTAGATTATAGCTCTGTACACTCTGGCCAACTTCATGGGATGCCACCTAAGATGCCTTTTAAAGAGTATTGTGGACGATTGTTGGCTGTGCTGTACCATCTTGTCTCATCCATTATTTATTTTATATATTTTTAATAAATAAAAATGCATGCATCCGTACATCATTTTAAACATTTAATCACAAGCCTTAGATCACACACATACATTCAGTCAGGTGTGTCCAAATCTTTACTGGTGCTGTATATGTGTGATTGTAGATTGCAGAGCTGCAGAAAGAGATGACAGAGCTGGAGAAGCGTGGAGACGAGTTGGAGGCTGAAATAGAAGCCAAGAAAGCCAAATACCTGGAGGAGATAGAGGAGCTGGAGGTACAAACGCTCACTGATCGTATTCTACTGCAGCAGTTCTCAATATCTCACCACTGTGCTGTCTCTGTTCAGAATTACATTTGTCAGCTGGAGGAGGAGGAGGCTGATCTTCAGTTCCAGATGAAGGATCAGAGTGGGGACTATGAAGAACTGCTGAATCAGAAGATGAATCTAGACATCGAAATTGCTGCTTACAGGTGATGCATGTTATGACGATCATTAGTGGTGCTGTGTGAAGGCAAGCATTGCTTTTATTATTGCTCATACATTAACATGATACACTAACATTCAAACGTTTGGGATCAGTGAAATATTTAAATATTTTTGAAAAAAGTCTCTCTTGGTCATCATATTTTTATTTGATCAATAATACAGTAAAAAGTTAAATAGACTAAAAGTGAAAGCTAAGGGTCAAATATTATAGCAATTTAAAATCGTTTTTTTTTTTTTTATCTTAATGCATTTAAAATTTTAATTTATTCCTGTAATGTGAAGATACATTTTCAGCATTCATTACTCCAGTCGTCAGTGTCTCATGATCCTTCTGATTTGTTGTTATGCTGATTTGGTGATCAAGAAAAATTTATTATTATTATCACTGTTGAAAACTTGAAAATGTTTTTTTTTTTTTTTTGTGGAAAACATGTTATTTTTCAGGATTCTTTGATGAATAGAAAGTTCAAAGAGCAGCATTTATTTGAAATGGACATTTTTTTGTTACATCATAATGTCTTTATTGTAACTTTTGAAAAATATTAATATATATAAAAAAAATATTACTGACCCTAAACTTTTGAACGGTTGTGTAAATCATTCAGCTTGTTGCAGAGGTGTGCTTTTACCATTACAATTGATTATTAAATAGCTATTACTATTACAAGGTATCAGAATGTGATATTTGTTTTCCCCCCAGAGGAAAGCACTACTCCCAGTTTCCTTTTAAGTCTGTTTTAACTTTTTTTTTTTTTCTCAGAATTTCCTCACAACAGAATAAATTGTTACATTCTATGTATACTTTGTAGAATATAATAATATATAGTTTGATTATGCTTTATTATGAAAATGGTAAATTTGACAATAATGGAGCAAAGACAAAATAAATATTTGAATGAATAAAACATTTAAAAAAAACAATTAATAGAATATATGTTTGTTGAATTATGTCATTGCACTGCAGGGTAAATGAGTGACACAATACATAAGGAAGACATACCTAAGAATGGTGCCCTCGTTCCTGAGGCCAAGATGGGTCACAGGAAGTGCATTCCCTTACAGTTGCAGAAAGCATGAGCTAATTTCCTCCTTCCCTAAACATGTTTTTTTTTTTGTGGCATCACCGGATTGGGAATACTCCCCATCTGCACTGATGTGTGTGGCATGACGCATCCACCACATAACCTTAATCTTTTGAAATGCCCCTAAAATAGGGCTTCCTGCCCCTAGAGGTTTAGGAAGTGACCACTTTACAAACAATAGCTCATTAAAATGGACAAAAAGAGACGGTTTTGTCTTAGGCCAGGTTGCTGATATCACACCTCTGTGCCTTCTGGCCCTTGCAATAAGATATACAAATTTTTCTCAATATACTACTTTCATATTACTGCCACTTTCTCATCCTTGATGAATAAGAGATGAAGGCTTGGCTTGTATGTTCTTGCAGATTTTAGAGAGCTGTCTGCTCCACAAACCCCAAATGACACTGTGCTGCCATCTCCATTGGCATTTGGCTTGTGAAAAATCCCAGATGTAGTTTTTGCCAGATGCTGGTTGTCGACGAGTATCTCTGATGCCACATTCAGCGTCATTACAAGTTTAAAACGGTACAGACTCTACACCATTTATCCCAGCATCTGTGTAGCCTCTGAACAGACATTGCACTTATCCTTATAATCTATATATCCTATAGATAATCCTTAGTTTAGTGTTACATTGAACCATGTGACAATGAGATTGGGGTTGTAATAGTTGCCCTAACTTCACTAGTGCAGATGAAATTTAGATTTAACATTGCTCTTACTAGGGTGTAAAAAGTGTCAGATGCCCCAGGCTAAGCTTTGAGTCAAATAAAAGCAGATTGAGTTTTTTTTTTTTTCCCCTGCTCTAGGGGTTTGGTTGAAGAAGAGGAGGAGAGACTGAGCTGCCTGTAAGATGCAAAAAGAGGTGATGCTCTTCTCTGGACTGAAGCGGACACAAAGAAACACTAAAACCACATACAATTCCACCCTTAACAGTGAGTCTCACAAATCAGGAAAGCAAAGAAAACAGCTGTCAGACACACTTAACCTTCTGAGCAGATGTAAACCTTCACTGAAAGATGAACTTCAGGGAGTTCGTGCAAGCTCATTGATAACGGGTCAGTGGCAGGTAACCCCGGGTCTTCAAGAAACACTGGATCTGTGCAGCAGTGGGAGTGTGTTGATCGTGATGGGGGGTTTTCAGCACTGGAATCTTCTACTTGGAGTTTCATAGTCCTTGTCACTGACCCACATGCATACCCTACCGTTCAAAAGTTTGGGGTCTGTAAAATTTCTTTTTTAAAGAAACAGTACTTTTATCCAGCAAGGATACATTAAACAAAAGTGATGTTAAAGACATTTATAATATTACCAAAGAGTTCTATTTCAAATAAATGCTGAATTTTCTATTAATCAAAGAATCCTGAAAAATGCATCCTATTTTTATCCCCAAAATATTAAGCACCACAACGGTTTTCGACATTAATAATAAGAAATGTTTCTAGAGCATCAAATCAGCGATCATCAAATTAGAATGAATGATCTGAATGATCATGTGACATTGAAAACTGGAGTAGTGATGCTGAAAATTCAGCTTTGCCATCACAGGAATAAATTACATTAAGTATACAGAGTTATTTAAAATTTTAATAATATTTCACAAAATTACTGTTTTTACTGTATTTTTGATTAAATAAATGCAGACTTGGTGAGTGTAAGAGACTACTTTTAAAAACTTTTTTTTTTTTAAATCTTACCAACCCCAAAATTTTTAGGTGTGTACACACATTTTCTTGTGCTCTGTTGAATCTCAACTTAACCTTTCCTGCACTGTCCAGTTTTGTAGTTTGGAATAAGAGACTCGATTTCATCTACCATATATACACACTACCTGTGTATTCAATCCTTCAAATATTCAATACGTATTGTGTCCTGCATACATGGACAGGAAAATGAAGAATGTAGCTTCACTATGCAAAATTACGCAAAAAAAAAAGTTATTAATTAAAAAGTGTAGTTAAAAAGTTGTTACAAACTTATTGACAGATAAGTCATCTGCAGCTCGTTTTTAATTGAGAATACTGACTCTCTTCTATGCAACAACTTACAGCGTTTAAGTAAATATTTGCCTTTGAAATCCATCTTTTTCATCATCTTTCTGAACTCTTAAGTTCAATACATTTCACTTTTATGGGAGTGTTTTCTGCCGACATGGACTTGAAAGAGACCACAATCGTCCTTCTGTCAGTCAAGTGCCATATCGTTTCACCACCTTTGAAGTCTTGAAATGGAGCGCTGTGGAGATTTACCCAGCAAGCCTTTCAATCTTCATACTGACCCTCACTTGTAAGCATCCTGCACTATTAACCCTATCAGAGGCTTGTTATCTGTGCATTTAAGATGAAAAATGCAGCTAATAATGGATTAGATAAGATTATCCAAGACCCGTGAATTCCTGTTGAACTGAAGCCCATCCGTAAGGCCTGAGGTGCGGCTGAACTGACCTGTGCAGCAAAACTGACTCCTTCAATTCAGTGGATATGAAACATGGGCAGCAGGAGAGGAAGTCACTCTGTCTTTGGGGCCCTTATTTTCACTGCTGAGGTACTTAGTCATTCTTGTTGCCCAAGGGCACCAGATCACCCTGAACCTCCCCCTCTTTAAATACACCCCCCAAAGCCTTCTGGGTGCTTGTGATGAAGTATGGGACCCTGGGCCTGGTCTGCTGGCCTGTGGGGATTTTGGTTTGCTTCTGGCCTTTCTTGAGGTTTGACAATGGAAGAGGGGAGGGGAGGATCTGACATCAGCAGCAGGGAGCAAAAGGTCATGAGGGAATATTTGGCAGGGCATTTTTTACTCAATGCTCATTGTCTGTCTTTCTGTTTTGCATCTTTTTCAAGCTTGTTTCCATTTCTAATGTGATGAATATTGTGTAGTCATTACTCGCTAATTTGTTTACTGTGTGCTGATGTACCTCAAATTAAATTTGATAAGTTAAAACATTTCTTAAACACGGGTAATGCATTTTTAAATCAATTTGCGCTACATTATGTTGATTTCGTAGGGATGGTTTGTGAGTCATTTACAATTTCGTAATTTCGATTTTCCCAATTTGAAAAGCTTATCTGAAAACAACTGAATAAAACAGAAACAACTGCTCTTTAAAACATGAACTGAATGATTTTGCTGATGATGGCAGGGTTGGACATGATGTATTGGTATGGGAGTTTCAGCCCCCCCACCCCCAAGTGGACCCTTATGGGACGTTTGAGGGGCTATTAACCCTTTGTAGACCAGCAGTGACATTGAGAGGTCAGAGGCCAGTCTTCCTTTTAGCTTTCAGACCTTGACAACTTGGCATTAGGGGTCAGTCATCAAAGCTGAGGTTTGGGTCAGCGGTCAGTGACACCCCTGGCCTTTTAATCCTGATGCCCTTGATGAGAAGTGAAAATGGAGGCAGAGATCGACAGACACACATCTATGAATAACAAAGATTAAACGCCAGCTCTTAATCTTTACTAATACTAATGCTTATTAAAGTTTACACACCTGAGTCTGGTTGGACAGTGTTATTGCTACCCAGACGTCCAGCCTGTGTGTAAGCTTAAAGTGAGAATAACGGGGTCAATCACACGCATGTCAGATAACAAAAAATACATTAAAAATAAGGAATTATGTTTTTCACAAGCAAAACAAAGCGTTTTGAGGCATTTATTTATTTATTGTGACTTAGTGCGTCCAGAGTTTTAACATTTTTATGTAGTAATTAGCAATATTCTCAATGGTGATTGCCATTATTCTCATAACTGCAAATAACATTATAGTAATATAGTATTTTTTTTTACAATCATACTACAGGGATATATACATATTTAATTAGAGATAGATGAATGTATTTGCATATAATTTTAAATATTGAAACAATTTTACATATTTTACATTTTTTTATAATATACTTTTAATACTATATTGAAAATTGTTTAATATAAATATTTTTATTTTATTTATTTATTTATTTATTTACATTTTAGCTTAAGTTTTAAAAGATATATAACAAAATAATGTCACAATGAAAAAAATTTTTTTATTGTACTAAAATCAATGTCTTTCTTTTGATTTTGGTGTGAAATAAGACCAAAGGTTTTATGAGATTTAAGAGTCAAATAATGTCATTTGCTAAGTAAGCAGCTTTCCACACATGGTACAGGGAAATTTCACATGAAAAATGGAACTATAGAGTCGTGGGTCATTGGCAATACCTTATGATATTTGAGCCAAACATGATGTTTCAGTCATGAAAAATTGGATTAGGAATTTGAGGTAATGTTCACTAGAGAGCAGCATGTATGGTTCAATTCAGCGATCACCTCATGATAGACACTCTTGGCCATTTTATCCCAACCTGACTGACTGAACAAATAAACAAAGTCCCTTTGAAAGAGAAAACTCATTTTTAAGGTTCACGTATGCTGTGCCTAGAAACGAGACCAAGCATGTTATTACAGCAAATAAACAAAGAGAGGGAGGGGGAGAGAGTAAAGAAAGAAAATAAAGACTGTGAAAATATACAAAAGTGAGCGTCAATTGAGAAAGTATTTCCATAATAAGAACTGAACAAATAATAAATTACAGAGGCCGCCCTCAGCTGCAGGGAATCGGCAAGATGTTACCAGATGAAGAAAGAAGGCATCACTCTTTCACCCTCAACATCCTTTCACTAGGATGATGGAGCTGCCTACATACTAACACTGAGAACACCAAACAACATCATTCTAGCGAAAGGTTGCCTTCATTTTTTCATGTTCATTCTTCTGCATAGGTGCGCAATATTTTTGGGTCTTTTTTTTGGTTCACATTTGACAAAGAATTTCATCATCCATGAGGTAACCTTGGTATGACAGTCTGCTTACTGTATAATTTCATGGTTATTGTGACATTTGAATTTAATTGGGATGTCGTAGGTTAATGATTTTCCAATCGGTGACTCTGTCAAGGTGCTGCTTTCATGTAGCAAATGAATCGGTGTCACAGGAAGATTTAGAACCTGACAAATTGGCAGTAGTTTCATTCTGTGACAACCATCTAAAGCAATTTTTGTCAGTAAAGGCCTATTTGCATCAAGATCGATAACTATAGTAGTGTGGCCGCACCAACTGATGATAATATTCTGTTTATTATAAGCACACACTGCAGTCATGTCGTCTAAATGCTCAAACTCTCGATTCGTCATTTATCAGCTGGGAAAAAAAAGTTCTGAAAATGATTCCAATGATATTGTTCCTCTTTGCCGTTATCATTATAGCTGTGATGTGGTCTTCCGTTCTTAGTGAACGGCCTTAACGCCACAATAAGCAAGGCTTAGTGTATAGTATGTATCATATATTCAGTATAGATGCACCCAGGCATGTTTACCCATAATGCTCTTCTTTGTGTCATATTAAAAAAATTTGTCATTCTTTTAACTTCCCATGCAGTTCTAGCCAGTCTTCTCAATCCCTTGTCCTATGATGAATATAAATGCATATAGAGTGTACATAAAACGTTCTCATTCTGTGTTATGTTAAAATAAACTGTTTCTTGTAGCATCTGCTTTTATCATCACAGCAAATATTAGTATTTATATTGAGTGAAAAGCAGGATATGAGTTGTATAAATCCCTAAAAATAGGTTTGCATGCTTCTTTCTTCATCCTTCCAAGCTATTTCCTTTCTTTCGTCTCGCTGAGTTTGATACAGCATTAGCCTGAAGGTACGACTGCTGCTGGATCTTAAACAGACTCTGAAATGATTTTCCACTAGTTACTCATTCATCTTGCTTCATATACTGGTCTGGTTCCTCTCAGAGCTGACAGGTCGAGCAGGTAACCAGAAGGCAGTTGTAGTTTGTACTGACTAGAGTGTTAGTATTCAGTTTGGCAGCTGAAGCTGGCATGAGTTGGCACCCCTCTACTCTTAGTTGATAATGTTACCAGACAAAAGACACATCTTGTATACTAAAGAGATTATGGTAGGCATTATATCCCCTTTTATCAGAGTAAAGCTGCAGGATAATGTTCCTAAGGAACCTTAACAACATATGGAGCTTATAGTGATTACCAACAGATGAAAAGATACTTACCCTCAACCTCTGAGGTTTATGCAATAGCCATATGGTTTGTAAATATTCGATAAAAGGGTTTGATGAGGTCGAAGTCATCTGTAACCGTTATGTTTTGGTGGAAACTGTGGTCGCTGATCTTTAGCGGTTACTTGCTGTGAAGTGTTGTCAACTAGCAATATCCAAACTCCATTTGGAGACAAAACAATCTCACCTCGCCTTCG